AGAATTAGCCTTGATCAATTTTTTTTTTAAAGACAGGATCTTGCTCTGTTGCCCAGACTGGAGTACAGTGTGATCATAGCTCACAGCAACCTCAAACTCCTGGGCTCTAGTGATCCTCCTGCCCCAGCCTCTCGAGTAGCTGGGACTACAGGTGTGTGCCACCATGCCCACTGGCTAATTTTTAAATTTTTGCAGAGATGTGGCCAGCAGTCCTCCCGCCTTAGCCTCCCAAAGGGCTGGGATTACAGATGTGAACCACTGCCCCTGGCCTAAATTTAACTTTAATTTTTAGCATGCAATCAACTCACCACCAATGTGATCCCTACTTTGACAAAGCTAGAAGCTACTTTACAGACGTATGTCAAGTTTAAAAAAATAGAAATCTAGGAAATTTAAAGTGTTTACACATAAACCACCAGATCAAGTAGGAGCCAGGCAAATGTAATTATTATGGAGTCAGGATTTGGAAACCATTATTGGATGTGGTTTCTCAACATCTCTACCCAGAAACCTGTGTGGCAACGATTTGCTTATTTCACAGTTTGATGAATCCAATTATGCGATATTAAGAGCTTGAAGGCACGTTACAAATCATGTAGTCCGTGGCCTCAGAGTACAGATTCAGGGGCTGAGGCCCAGAGCAGTTGCTCCGCGTTGGGGGCAGAACTCCGAGTGATCAGACCCCATCCTGTGCACCTCACACTGGGCCTGGTGCTGCCTCAGCCAGGCTTTCCTGCCGGACACTCCTCCACAGCCTCGTGGGGCTGGACAGAAGCCCTGGGACGCCGGGCCGTATCCCCAGCCTTCCAATCACGTGCATTCACACAAGTGTCCTGGTCATGTGGGCATCTGGTTGGTTCTTCGAAGTCTCCAAGGAACTGTCTGCGGCTGGTCAGAGCACAGCTACCTGTTATGCTGAGCATTGTTTCCATTTCACAGATGGGGAAACAGGACCATAAAGATTAGGGTTATTGTGAGTCGGCCCCCTAGCGGGGATTGGCATTATTTCTGATCCGTAGACGTGGCCTTCCCGTGGGGTGGGTGCAGGGGGAGAGCCTCCTAGCTCGGATGGAGGAGTTAATGACGGGGCGTGGGTACCACTGGGACCGCCAGCTGAGCCTGTCTGGAGCCAGTATCCAATTGCTTTATCACAGGTTTCTCGGAAGAAACCATTTCCATTCCCACCATCGTTTAATACTAAAGCAATATTTTATGTTAGAGTTCCAATTTTTACCCAAGAATGAAAAGGGGTACCAGTAAATCAAGTTTTTTTTTTTTTTAAAAAGGGACAGTAAATGATTTAAACTTTCTGAATTGCTCCTGCCATATAAAAAAAAAAAATCAAGGTGGTAGTTTTGAAATGGGAGAAGCATCCTAAACGAGACTGTTAGCTTGCCCCCAACATCCGCTTCCGATCCTCGTTTATATACTATCTAACATCCACGCCTCCCGCAAAACGTCATCTGAGAATTCGCAGCAAGATCAGCTGAATAATCAATACAGGAGAGCGCATTGGTGGGAGGTAGCTAGGGGCTGGAGCTGCGAGCTCCTTTATAAATCAGGCTGTGTGTGTGTGTGTGTGTGTGTGTGTGTGTGTGTGTGAGAGAGAGAGAGAGAGAGAGAGAGAGAGAGAGAGAGAGAAAGGGGGAGAGACAGAGAAAGGGAGAGAGACATTAGACGTTAGTGAGAAAACAAGAAACGGGACAGATTATCCCCGAGAAGCTTTGAAGAGGATGCAGTTTGCAGTTTGCTGCGGGTAGGCTCTGGCCCGACTACCTAGGTGTGACTCCCAGGCCTCTTAATCACTTAGGCAAGTTACCTAACTTAGTCATTGCCTTATCTAAAAAGTAGGGATTAATAATAATTCCCACCTCTTGAGGTTCACGCAGTATGAAATTGCGCAGCGCTCGTAGAAAAAGCACTTTTCACTTTGGCGCATGCGTTCGCTATTATTCCTGGGACGCTTCTGGCCTAAGGGAAGTCCTGTCTTCAGATAAGCCCTCCGGCCCCCTCCCGGGGTGAGCCAAACCATCCAGATGTGACATGCCTGGCGGTGGGGCCCTGGCGTGGGGAGCAGCACCCTGGGAGACTCCAAGCCGGCTGCTGCTTGGGGAGAGGCTGACTCATGGCGCTGGAGGGCGTCCAGGGCTCCTGCAGCTTGTTCCACCGCCACATCCAAAGAGGCTCACGGAGACGACTCCGCAGGCAGCCAGGGCACTGCATGCCCCACCTTCCCTTGGTAGGCTGCTCAGCTCCCACCACCTCCATCTCCTGTTGCAGCTGTGGCAGGCTTAAAAGGGTGAAATAGTCACTTTAAGGTCCAGGCTGTCGCCACTTCCATTGTAAGCCTCCCTCCTACCATTGCCCCCTCTGGTCCCCTCTCCTCTTTTCTGGCAGGGGCGTCGGCATCACTGTCTCCACTGGTGGGCTTGAAAGGGTCTCTTCTCCCTGTCCTTGCACTTCTTTCCTGGACTCAGCGCTGAGCAGCAACATTTGGCTCTGGGTGTGGCGCTCTGGAAGCTGCCTCTCCCCTCGCCCTCAAATTCTCAAAGGGCTTGGCCACTGTGTCCCCTGGCACTCAGCTCTGCGCACAGTTTCCCCTCCTGTGCCCAGCCTGGGCAATAATATCATCTTCAAATCTTCACGATTCATGCCGGCATTTTTAAAAAGCAGTTGAAATCCTTCGGACCACGCCATCAACGCTTGGACGACTCAACTCATGTCTGAGGGTCTGCTCCAAATTTTTAATTTCCTTTTGGGACACGACACTTTGTTACTGATTATTTTCTAAGCTTCTCTGAAGAACAGAGACTCCATTCTGAAAATCAAATTCCCCCGGAAGCAAGAGCCCAGACATCTGTCTGGCCACCGCTAGCGTGGGAAGCGTCCAGAGGAGTCCTCTCTGCACCCACGGGGGCCCTGAGCAGGTTCTCTGCAGGCCCCAGAACTGCTCAGACAGGGTGACTTTATGCAAACACCCATTCCAGAGGAAGCCAAGCTGAAAAAGCTACAGGGAGGGGCACAAAAATAAACCCAGTAAATTAAAAATAAAGAGAAACCAGTCCTCAGAGACGACTCTTCATTCTTTCCACCCTTTTTGAGGGCAGATGGGAGGACGGCTCAGGTCACAGGAGCAATGCAAGCAAAGCTCATCGCAAGTATTAACACTTCTATGGGTGGAAGCAAAAAAAAAAAAAAAAAAAACCAAAAACAACAAACTAGGCCATTTCAGGTCATTTACAGAAGAAGAAGCCATTCTCCTGCCCAACAACACATTTTAATGGAGCCATTCTACCACTTGCCTTGGAATCCCATTCAGTGTCTAACAATTCTGGCAATAAATTCTTCCTGAAAGCTCACCTAAATTGCTCTTGTTCTCTCCCTGTGATAAGAGGAGGCTCCATTTTCCATGTAATCTTTTGTAACATAATGTACCCAAACCCACTATCATTACTTCTCTCTTCTCCAAGCAGGCAAAAAAGGACCCCTTGTCCACCCCTGGGCAAACCTTCCGTCCTGTCTCGGCCCCCCTGTACTGACTTGGGGCTGCCACCCACGGCTCACAGGGAAGCCCCTCACACGCCCCTCTTCTCCTCAGGCCTCCCTCCCTCGCCACGGGAATCAGGACATCTGAGGGAGGCAGGTTCTCCCCGGAATAATAAACATCTCCAAACCTAACATGGGTGTAATGATTATTTCCAAAGCTGCCTGCTCTTAGTTTTCTGACTATGTCAACACTACATGCTATTTTCTTCTCAAATGACCAGGTTCATTTTTAACTTTACTTTGTCATATTTAATGCCTTAGTAAGTTAATTTCGTGTCAGTCATGGACATCTCTTCTGGACCATTTCTTTCCCTCTCTGATTAATTCAAAAGTACCCTGTAGAAAACTCCTGGGAAGACTCATCTTTATTTTACAGTTCGTAGTTGGAGGGATTTTTCTCCAACCATAAGTGAAAAACCATGAGACTCCCAAGTTTGTAGCCGAATGGGAACATTTCTTGTTTTAGACATCAACATTTTACGGGAAACCTCTGCATTATCTGTCAGGAAAGTAACCAAATCTAGAATCCTCCCAGAAACATTGGCCTCCGTGTTTGTGGTAAGATAGCCCGGAGAGGGCCAGTGGCCAATTTATCTCATCACCGCATCTCAGTCTTGCCTCCTGTTATCACCCAGCACGTACCTACTCCTCCCACTTCTGTCCTCCTGCCTTCCCATCACCCCCGCACAGGTCCTTCTGTGGTCCTGCTTTCCCAGTGTCTGGAAGCCATTCCCACCCACCGTGCCCACCCCTCCTCCCTCTTCTGAACTCCCATCCATCCTCCAAACCCCAAGCCAAATGTCACCTCCCCAGCAAAGCTGCCCCAACAGTCCTCCTCGGCCGAGCCAGGTTCTCGGGGTCCTACAGCGAGAGCCTTTCTGTCCTGCAGCTTCCTGCTTACGTTGCTCCACTGGACTGGGGACCCCGCAGCAGCAGGGGCATTACCTAGTCCCCTGAGCATCTCGGTGCCCAGCACAAGGCCTGACACAGGGTAGCGCTCACAGCGTGGTGTCTGAGATTTGGGGGAAGCTTGATCTGAAATTCTAAGGTCACTGAGGCCAACAAGGATTCTCTTTTTGTTGTTGTTGTTGTTGTTGTTTTCCCCAGGAAAAGCCTCTTTGGCCTTGAACAAGTATTTCAGTATCTTTTGGTGAATGGGTAGACTGACCGATAGCACAAAATGCAAGATGGATACTTCCCTCCACACTCTTCTCGGGACCCCTTCTGTCTTTCTGTACCTGAGAACCCATCAGTCTGTACAGGAAAGGCAGCGACTGCCCTCCCCTCCTTTGCCACGGGGATGACACAGCAGCGACGGTCATCTCTGGCCTCCAGCATCCCTCCCTGATCCAGATCAGACCTGGGAATCTTGGCAGTGGCCATCGATCAGTGTTTGAGGAACCAACGAACAATCGTTACTTTTGGGTTAGTTTTTTTTTTTTTAATTTTTCACAAAGAGCTCCAGAAGGCAAGTAGTTTATCACTTCCCTGCCCTGAAACAGCACAGCAAGGCAGACAATATAGGGTGCTGGATGTCAGCTCTTGTTTTCCAGAGTTTCTGCAGCAGGCCAGAGTGAACCCAAAGCAAGGCCCGTGCAGCGTGTCCTCTGCGATTCGTAGGAGCTCAGTCCACACACAGCAGCACCAGCGCTGCTGAAGTTGGGGCTGTCTGTCCAGAAGATCCCACCTTGGATCCCCAGAGGAATCCAGGCACAGTTTAACTGCCAGAGGCAGAGAGCAGGTGGCAGCCCAGCGGCAAAGGCCTCTTACCGAAGGCCTCACATGACACTGTGAAGATCGAATGTCTTGGCTTAAGACTGGAAGGGAAACAGGACAGACAATGAGGTCAAGGAACCTCTGAGTTGCCGAAAAGACTTGTTAAAAGAAATGCTAGATCTGTAGCTCACAATGTTCACAGGGAAAGAACATTGCTTGGAATTCCAGACCTGAGCAGGGAGAAACAAAGGCTGGGCTAACAGAGCCAGAACTTTATTCACAGTAGAACAGTCCTATTCTAAAATTTTAGAATTTAAGTCCACTGTCTCTTAAGAACGAGAATTCTTAAACCTGTCAGACCAGCTGACAGGGAAAAAAATTAAACAAAACAACACAAAATCAACTCAATCTTCCTTCACCTCCCAACACCCCAGCCACCTCCCACCCCATTAAAAAAGATTCATTAAAGCCATACACACTTGCACACACTCAAATATGCAAACAACATACCAAACACCCAAGGAAATCTTAGGAATCACCTAAGGATTTTTCACTAGCTCTCCAGATGCTCTTTCTGTTTTTCTAGAAAAAAAACAGTCAAGCTCTGACAGTTATGTCTAAGCAGTAAAAATTGGAGTTGGACGAGACCCCTTTTCTTAATCTCTGGCTTACTAGTCAATATAGAAGAATATCAACAATGAATCGGGAAGGCCAAGGCTGGCGTCAGGTGGACGGCAAGTTGCCTCACTGCCCTAAGCTGGGGGACCCTCTCCCGGGGAGCACCCCCTACCCACAGCTCTGCTGCAAAGGGCCCTCCCCACTCGTTGAAGTGTGAAGCTCAGGTTCTTGGACCTGCACGCCCCCCCACACGTGGCTGCCATGGTGCATGGCTATCGAGGACAGGTGCTTGTTCGGGATGCCTGGGAGGGTGTTTCTGGAGGCCACGTTTAGAGCTCGAGGGTGTGAGAACATAAACCTGAGGCAAACCATCATGAGAGATCCTGGGATGCCAGATTGCAGAGTGGGAAGAGATCATGCAGTCCAACTCTGCATTTTACATAAAACCAATCTACGAAGAAAGCAGAAAGGAGTCTCAGGGGACATCTTTTGAGAAGGGGCATCCTCCCAGGATTCTGACTCTGAGAGCTTCCCGGGTTGTTGGCCTAAATCAGTTGACCAGCCCATTCTTTCTGACCATGTTTCGCACCTTAGATGGAGAATCATTTGTTTCCAGATCATTAGAATTGCCCATCAACAGGCCTCCCTGCAAGAGCCAGGCTGGGAAACTAAAGAGAATCAGATTGTCTACACCGACCACTCCCCAGAGTGTGGTGAAAGCTTGCAGCATCCATTTCTTTGCCTTGTCTTACAGACAATGTTTTCCCAACGATTTGTAAAATAAATAATTCAAAATATAATGAAAAACCCCGGCAAAGATAGTTGCTGGCCTGAAAATGTGCTCTGTGTCTCAACAGTGACTCAACTCATAAAACTCACACCTGTGGTTCGTTCCCAGGCTAAGAGATGGAGCAAAGAGTGTGACATGAACCCCAGGGGCAGGGCAGGAGGTACACACCAGCCCCCACCCTTTATATATTACATTTATCTTTATAAATAGAGCATCCTCACTCAAGTGGCCACAATAAAGAAGGCCAAGAGTTCTTTTTTCCTCAAATATCTACACAAACCACCAGAGATCTACTAAGTCACATCTGCATGGCAAACTGACAGCTCTTCATGAGAGCTTCAATTGCCATGGTGGTCAAGTCTCAGCCAGACACAAACGCCCATCCCTACTGGGTACTGAGGACTAAGACAAAAATCTACTTTGCAATAAGGCTCATGACAGAATTCCTTTAAATAAAAAGCCCAATTAATATGATTTCAAATGATTTGATTCCCCCTCAAACTTGTCATATACACAAGTTTTCAAGGTCACATAAAATGAAGCCAATTAGACCAATAAAATTTGTCCAGTTGGCTTGAGTTTTCAAGGTCACATCTGCCACATACAATGAAACCCAACCAGACCAGTAAACGTGGTCCAGTTGGCTGGGCTGCCGTGACTACCTAGTTACTGATGTGACAGCTTGGTGACCGCCTGCTCTCGGGCAAGACTCTGAGCCACGTTGTCCGACCTTCGCATGGGAAGCAGTGGAAGCAGAATCATGTGGGCAGTGAGCTGAAGAATTAGGTGTCTGGACTGAAGTTTATCTTAATGGTTTCCACAAAGCTTATCTTTTAGCCATCCTAGGAAATTCGGGCTTAAATTCTCTATTCCCCTCCTCTGTCAAAAATAACATTAACTTTGGTCTATCACATCAGACCACTTTGGCTGGATGAATGTGACCACTTAAAAAAAAAACAACCAAAAACGGAGGCAAACAGATGAACAGCCCTTTAGAAAAACCAAAGGGTGATGAACGAAGGTGGGTTGTGCTCCCAGGGAGCCTTCATAGCTCATCCTTCGAAGGCACGGTGTCCATGGAGGTTGGTGGCGGCAGCGCCTCTGTGTTCTTGGCATTGCTGTGGATGCGACCTTGCTTGCTGGACTTCCAGGAATGTGTCCTGTCCCAATCGGTGGCCACTGTCTCATTGTCCCAGATGGTCGAGGTCTCTGTGTCACTCAGGTACCCTGGCTGGCCCGTGTAGTGTGTGGGGTAGATGAGCAAAGGCTCTGCAGAGAAGGCTTTCAGATCCCTGGATTCATAGTACTCCTTGTACTCGGCTCTGGAAACAAGAGGAGCACAGGGCATGAGGGGGTCAGAGGCCTAAGGAACGAGGACAAGGAGGGGAGAGGCCCTGCTTGCTTCTGTCTCTTGAATGGGCATAGATTCCTTTCATTATTTTTTAAGTTGTGTTCTTTGTGAAAAACTTCAGTCTACAAACACGATAAAGGTCTCTTGAAAAGCTTTTAGAAGATCTGCTCAAACCAGCAGGCAAAAAGGTCAGGAGATTTCTGGTTTTTTTGGATAGACAAGTTTAAAGGATGAATTTCAGATGTTATTCTGAAAGTTAAAAATTAAGCTCTGTTGGATCATATGATAAATAAATGTGATCACTTTACAAAAATGCCCTGCTCCTGGATTAACAATGGGGTAAGTGACACAATGGGGCTTGGAGAAGGCCAGCTTGGCTCTGCACTCTGCCCCCTGCGCACCATTCAGGCCCCACCAAGGGTAAAGGAGAGGGACAACGGCCTCCCTCCCAGGGCTCCTGTGCAGATTATACGAGGTGACATCTGGACAGCTCCTAGGCCTGTGAGTGCACCATAAGTATTAATTTCCCTTCTGTTTAGGGGATAATGGTTTGACCTCCAAGTTTCTGCCAGGACACAGAAATAAAGTCAGTCTCTAATACGTTGTATAAAAGAGCTCAAGGAGCTCCATTTTTACTGAGGACAGGAGATAGAATGAACAAGATGCAGCATAGGAAATCTCCACAGCTGAAATGAAGACCATCTAGGGAAGAGCTCACCCAGCAGCTGAGAGAAGGAGCCGAGGTTAGAACCTGGGCTCCGGCTCCATTGATGAATTTTGGAATCGTTGATTGAACAGCAGCTATGATGTGGGGTTTGTACGAGGCTCTAGGGACACAGGGTGCAAGACTATTCCTGCCTCAAAGGGCTCCTAGCTTATCAGGGAGACCGACAGGTAAACCATCAGTAACCACACCTTTTGGCAAGTGCTAGATCAGAGTATGCTCCTGGGCTATGGGAACCCTGAATGCCACATTGCCTCCCTCCACGATGCCTTGCTCGGGTGTCGCGTCCACACCCCCTGAACCTCTCGCACATCTCTGTGATGGCTGGCATCACCATGCATCAAGATGATTTGTTCCTGAGTCTGGGTTTCTGACCATATTGTGAGCTCTGCAAGGGTGGGTGCCACGGTCCAGCCATCACTACACACGATGACTTGAGCCAAAAGAACTGGAGGTTTTGAGATGCTCAGGAAGACGACCTTCACCTTGAGGTGGATGAGGTTACGGAGGTACGAAGAACAAAGACAATGAGGGGACCAACCAGACTATGTTCAGTTCAATGACCAACTAGGTATGGTAAAGAACCCCCAGGCAAGACACTCCCCACCTCTGCCTCATCTTCCCCATCTGTACAAGGGAAACTCACTTGAGTCAGCCTTTCTTGCTCATGACTATGGAAAGATCACTGAGGAAAACATTAGAAAATACCAAGGACTATCAGAAACTGAGTAGCATAATTCATGAAGAGGCTGTGCCAGGTGACAGGGAGGTGGTGCAGGGAGACTCACACAGGGTGCTTGTTGTACATGATTGGCAGAAACTCATCCACTGGCAGCATCTTCCCAAAAGGGTCGGCTCCAACCAGCTTCTGTGCTCCTTCCAGAGAGATGACGTAGCCCAGGGTCCAGTAGGAATAGTCAGCCTCGACCAGGTTTACCACGTTGGGCACCGCTTTCTCTGGCTCTTTTACTTGCATCCTCTTCCTACCAATATAGCTATAAGGAAAAAGGCAGAGAAAACTTGAATATTAGGCATTGATAAGGATGGAACCCAGCTTCGGTTTACGCAGACACCTTTGAAAGCTTGGACCAATTGTATCTTGCATTAAATGTGTCCCACCACAAAGTGGATCCTGTTACCAGCCATGATGCCATCTCCCATCTGGGAGGCCACTTCTCTGGGTCTGTTTATCAACACCCCAGCTATTCCTGCCTAGCAGACGGTGTGTGAGCCAGAAAGGAGAGGCACAGTGAGATCGAAAGATCTTTCAGACTGTTTCCCCAAGATGACATGGGCTCTCCAGCTGTGTTTACAAAGGTTGCAAAGGCACAAAAAAGGCCAGATGTGAGAATCCCAAGTCTATTGTCTTCGAGTCCCCAAAGTTTCAGCCTCGGATGCCTTCTGCACAGCACTCCAAATGCGGGTGGAAAACACAGAACAGAAAATGCTGGGGGAAGAGACAGTCTGCAGTGAGGGACCTGGGAACCCAAGAGCGGCCCCCAGGGGTTCTTTCTGGGGAGTGTGAATGACAACTCAGAAAGGCTTTCTCCCGCCTCACGCCCACCTAGCTCTGCTCAGGCTTCTTCCTGGGCACTGTGCTTTGAGAAAGACCCCAGACATGTTCTGTCCTGCATGAACAACTTCTACCACAACTTCTACCACCGGCAATCCTGCCTTCCCCAGTATACTCATGGATCGTGGATTGTGGATCTGTGCTCCTTTCCTTTTGTCTGGAATCTGCTAGGTGTGGGCTTGCTTGGAGCAAGTTGAGAGGTTGACCGGTTCTATTCTGCCCTAAAATAATCTCTTTCAAAATCCAACAGTGTTCCCCTTTTGTCAAAGCATCCCAGGACTTGTAGAACAAATCTCTGTTCAGCCTTTAGTTCTTCTGGGACATCAAACATCTATCTTCTCAGCCACTCTCTTTTCAGACTACAGAGTCTAAATTTCTCTAGTTTATCACAGAGTAGAAAAGAAACGCCTACTGAGCACTTGGAACATGGTCACAGTGATGGAAGAACTGAGTTAATACTCTTATTAATTTTAACTAATTTAAATTTAAATTTAAAAGTTAAGGCTGTGTGAAATATTTTTTTCCATGGAACAAGTTTGTTGTTTTGGTAAGACTAAAGTTTATTTTAACAGCTGAAAACTTAGCTTCTGGATTGAGATATGTTCTAAGTATAAAGTACACATAGAATTTTGAAGACTTAGTGTATAAAAAAAAATTTAACGATCTCATTAATGGTTTTTCAATATTAATTTCATTCTAAAATAATAATGTTTGGATATATTGGGTTAAATAAAATGTATTGTTAGAACTAATTTCAACTCACTTATTTATACCTTTTTAATGTGATTACTGGAAAATTTAAAATGACATGTGGCTGTGTTATATTTCTGTTGATCAGCACTCTCTAGATGTTTCCAATGGCTTTTTCTATTCTTCCCACTTACTATTTTCTTTTTCTCGAAAAATTTAATTTAGCAATCATGGACAACTTATTAACTTTCATATTTTGAGTTTAAGTAACATTTATTTTTTCTTCATTTTAGAAAGTGAGAGATAAAATTTGAAACCGCTTTAGTTCTTTAAGACTTTATAATAGCTTTTAATAGAATATTTTGACTTGATCAACCTGTGAAATTTAGAAAACCTTTTTTTTCCTGTATCCTTATGAGGACAACTGTTCTTCCTTCTTGGATCTGTTGGTACTTTGTCCTTGGAAATGCACCAACCAAACTACACGTGGCCAGGGATGTAGGCCGATTCCAAGCCCTAGACGCCTTGGGTTGTCGTCTGTGATGATGAGGCTTAAGTGAAAGTTGCCTTTACACAAGTCCTATTGGCATGAAATAGCTTCCAGGCTTCATGTCTGTGAGGCCTTAAGCACAGGCTGCAGGGCCATAGATTCTGAAAGGCTGAAGTGTGGTGACTTCTGGGCGATATAGGCAGAAACTGAGCTCAAAGGGACCGTGCAGACAGAATACCAAATCTAATCACACGACTGGTATCTGCCGGGGAGCAGGTCTCTTTTTACTGCACAGCACCGATTTCTGGGTCTACTTCTAGTGGGTTAGTTGAGCCATTGCTAGGTTTCATTTGAACCCAGAGTGGTCCGTTTTCTGAGAGAACAAGTGTTCCACCCAGGCCCGGAGTTAAGTTTCCCTCTGAGGATGGGAGGAGCAGGGACAGTTCGCTGCAGCAGCTGCTCCAAAGGAGCAGGCTCTGATGTGATGAATTGCCTTTGACACACAGCTGGGGAGTGAACATAATGCCTGGGAACTTTCTGCTTCATTGACGGGAAACAGAAACTGTCATCTTGTTTTAAGAACAAAATTGGGGGAGAGGGAAGAAAAAGGAAGGAAGCAAGGAAGGAAGGAAGGTACAAGGAAGGAAGGAGGAAGAAAGGGGAGACAGGAGGGAAGGAAAGAAAAGTAGGAACCACTGAAGTCCCAGGGGTAGGAGACCAAGAGCATTAACTAAATGTCAGTCAGAGCCAGCACTCCCTTGGCGAGCCGGGTTTTCCTGTGTCAGCCCCAGACCCTTCCCCAGATCCAGCTGTCGGTGCTCTTCCTGTGTGTGTGACCTCATTTCCCAACAGAGGAGCTCCCTGGCTGCCCCTCCACTTCCCACCTGCTCTCCTGGGAGCTGAGGCTTCAATACCACCCAGGATCCGTGCCCTCGCCTGAATACCCTCTCCTCCCTCTCCCTACCCCTGCCATGTGCCATGTTGCTTCCCGAGTGGGCCTTCTGCTGTGCTTCTGTGTGAGTGTTCAGTGCCACGCCTCTGCCCTGTCTGAGGGCCCCGGATCTGCAGGCAGGCTCCAGGCCTCATAAAGAATTCCCCACGGTTTCTCACCCTGAAGAGTAGAAGGATGTAAAAAACCTCTACCCACTTTTGCTTCTGAGAACGTTTATGGAGAGAAAACCAGGTAAGTGGAAGCTGAAGCCTTATCTCCTACCAGCTGGGAAGGTGGGGCTCTCTGCCCTTGGGAAAGGACTCGGTGCTCTCTGCTGAACTTGTCTTGTCACTCACATCAGTTCCCAGTCCAGATGAGCCTGGTCAATGTCATCCATCAGCTTCATCAGCTTCCTCTTAAACTGATGCTCAAAACGCACATCATCCTCAATAACAAGAGTCTTCTCCAGTTCTCGGTCGATTACCTATAAAGGTCATCAGTGGGAAGACACCCTATGAAAAGTCTGATACCCATTTTTATTAGACAAGCAAGTATTGAAAAGTCACGAGTATAAGTAGCATAACTTGTAATAGCTCATAACTGGAACCTAAGTGAATGCTCATCGACAGGAGAATGAATCAATACACCGTGTTTTCGCAGCAATGAGAATGTGTGACCTCCAGTTAATGTTGCAGGTGAATCTCCTACATGTAACATTGGGAGATTACACTTCGATATGATTCCATTCATATAAAAGAGATCACAAATGCAGGCAAAGCTATTCTATGCTGTTAGAAGTCAGGATGGTGATTGTCTTTGGGGACTGGTGACCAGAAGGAAGTGCAGAGGGGGCACTCCCGGGATGCTGGTGACCTGTGTGTCGATACGGGTCCTGATTAACAAAGCTGTACTGTTTAGTTTGTGAAATTTCACTGAGCTGTACCTTGTGATCTATATACTTTTATATGTATCTATTACATTTCATTTAAAGTTTAAAGAAGAAAAAGGATAGGCACAGACTGGATCATTGAAAGAGAACAGGCATTCAAGAGGCCTTTCTCTGGGGACTTTCTCTTTTCTTGTGGGAACCGACCCTTACTCAGGAGCCCCACACTCCAACGCCCTCTCCTCAGTGTCTCGATCTGTAAGATGGGCTCAAGTTCTGGCTCTGCTGCTTCTTACCTGGACAAGTGGGTGAAAGGGGTCCATCCCTGCCAACCCGCCTCCCATGACTTCTGTGTGACTTCTTGTAGGAAATCACTTAAAAAATGGTGACATAATAGACACATACAAGGCATTCCTGCTGCTGATGATAGTGAATTAGTAAGCGTGGTGGCTAGGATGGGGGTGTCTTCCCTGTCATCATCCCAAGTGACACCAAAGCTACTCTCCTTGTCCCTTTGTTACTGGCCTCAGATCAGAGGGAGACACAAGGCAGGAGCAGCTCTCAAGGAATCTTCTGCAAGAGTTATGGGTTCACTTTATAATTGGCTCTAATTCACCTGTAGTATCTTTCTTCTTTCTTCTCATCATAAAACCACACATCTAAAATAAACATTATTTACCTCTTTCCAGACAGAGTAGTGGCTAAGAAAGCAGCCGATTTCACCCCTGGTTAGAGGCCTGGAGGAGTAGGGGTCTCGATAACCAGGCAGCATTTCAATATTCAGGGCCTTGAGCTGGCTTGTGTTGAGTGCCCTGCATCACAGAGAACATGTTTGAAAATCAACAAGTCGAAGTGTCCTCGCCACAAAGGCCAGAGAGAGAGAGAGAGACAGAGATCTACACATTCCCCCAGAGCCTCCGCACACAGAGAGGAAGCCCTCAGGTTTCCGTTAGTCCTTACAAGTTCCTCGGGGCCAATGTGTCACAGCAGCATTATGAGCTTTGTGAAGACAAGAGGGTGTCATATTTCTGTGTATCCCTCATAGTGCCTGTCATAGTTCTAAGCATCATTAGTTTTTTCACAACTTAAAAAAAATACTCCCCTAATGAAGGAGAGGTAGTTTACAGGCGCAGTACATGCTGGAAGGGATGAGCACAAGAAGGAAGGAGGAGAGGGACCATGTGCATGTGTGTGTGTCTTTCCTTTGGACCTAAAATAAAAACAAGGTTAAAAATAAAAATGGCAGAGAAACATTTCCGGAATTGTGGAGTAAGGACATTTCCAAATCCACTCCTTTATAAAAGTAATGAGGACACTGGCAAAAACTATCAAAATCAACTTTTCCAGACTCTGGAAATTAACCAAAGGTTTGCAATAATCCAAGGAGTGTGTGTTCAAGACGAACTGCTGAATCTCTGTTAATACAGTGAGCTTCATGGGGTTTACACCTTCCTTAATCTCATCCTTTCTTCTTGCCCCTATAGAAGCCTTGAAAACCAGTAGCCTTACCACTATGGCGGCTGTGAAAACCAGCCACCTAGCAGCCACTGGAGGGGGTGCAATGAATTAGGACTCCCTAAAGGCCTATACCCAGAAGATAATCCCTGTTCACAACCTACCTGGTAGCTCCCTGGAAAGCTACCCTGACTCAGAGTTCATTCTGGGCCAACTGTCTTATCTGTAGGGCATTGTCAAAAGCCATCAGCAGTAACCATGTAATGTTACCGCTGTCTGAGCAGCATTAGCAGCTCAGGCTAACAATAGGCTGACCAAAAAATTTAAAGGTAAAAACTGAGGAATAAAAGATCCATAAGGAATTTGAAACATTTTAGAATATTCCTGAGAATATAGAAGGCATATTCAGGGCTGTGCACACACTCAGGAAAGACCTGAGAAGTCCCTCATCTTTCACTTCTGGCTGACCTTGAAGACCTGGGGGAAAAGGTAAGGAAAGAAAATGGATTAAACACTGCAATCGGTGGAAGAGCTTGGCACAATGAGTTTTTGAAAATATCGTAATACAGCTATGCGATGTCTGCAAGAGACAGACTTCAGATTCAAAGACACAAATGGGTTAAAAGTAAAAGGACAGAAAAAGATATACCATGTAAACAGTGACCACAAGAGAGCTGGAGGCACTATACTAACATCAGACAAAATAAACCTCTAGACAAAATTTATACTAGAGACAAAGAGGGACATTTTTTAAAAATAAAAGGGACAATCCATTAGAAAGACATAACAGTTATTAATGTAATTATAAACCTAACAACAGAAATCCCAAAACATGAAGCAAAAACTGGCAGAATTGAATGGAAAAATATGTGATTCAACAGTAATAGTAGGAGACTTCAATGTCTCACTTTCAATAATGGATAGAACAGTGAGGCCGGAGAACAGCAAAGAAATAGAAGCCTTGAATAACACCACCCACTAGACCTAACAGATATAGGATGCTCCACTCAGCAATAGCAAAATACACACTTTCAAGGGCACCTGTAATATACCATATGTTAGACCATAAGGATCATATAGACCATCAATTAAATCTCAGTATATTTTAAAGGATACTCCAATCTCAATAGAATAAAGTTAAAAATAAAAAACAAAAGCAA